TGTAAAGAGCCGCATGTGGCTCGCGAGCCGCGGCTTGCCGACCACTGCCCTAGAGTATGTCTCCAAGACAGTATACTGTCCCCTTTCAAAAACAGAGCACTACAATGGGACTTCCCATCAATTTCCAAGAAGTCATGGTTAATTTCCCTGCCACAAATATCCAACAGAGGTTGTAACTGTCCCCAACTCTGTCTACTCTGTCTAGAAATTAAGAACAAAAAAGTCCCCAAAGTCCCAATGTTTAAATGAATCTACTGCAGTATATATCTGAAATGATCCCAGCTGTAAGGTTTTCCTTTACTAAATCCTGTCCTGCTTCCCACCGTGGTCAATGCCTGCAGATGCATTCATAATATTATATATAGAAATCATGGAAATTCCTCTCTAAACAGTGGTGGCTTTGATGAATTGATGGAGATGAAAATGACTGGTGTCATGATGTTGTCACTGGAATTCCCTTTGCATACTGAAAAAAAGGAAGTCAACAGACCTTTAGCACATTCCAGGAGAGCAAAAATAAAAGAATTCTGTCCATTAATAAATAAATGACTGGAAAGCACACACAGAGGTTGAAACGTGAAGTGAGATATTTAGTAAACGTTTCACATTGATTTCTATCAATCAACAAGTTAAGCTTGCTTCAGATGGTTCCAATTTTATCCAATACCTGCTTAATCTGTCTAAATTTGAGCTATGGCCCTTAGTTTTGGATAGAGTTGGGAAGTTATAGAGCTTCTGTCAGGTGCGCAAGACCAAAACAGGATAATCCAAGGTAGTCCAACATAATTTTAATTGTTTTATTCTGTGTTGAGTCCTGACGAAGGGGAGTAGTGTTGCCCCTGAAATTGTGTTGGCTGTGTTTTGTTATGGCTTTCTACAAGCATTTAAAATTATTTTGCTCTCTTCTATATAGTTTTATTTAAGTTTGGTCTGGCACTCCTTTCTGTATTTCTATGGTTTGAGCTATTGTTGGGTGCCAAGGAAAGCCTTGCTGTGTGGGAGCTGCCTTGCCAGAACTATTGATTTTGTTCGAAATTTTAGCTCATCTTACTATACTTACAAGTCTAAAAGTACCCAGCACCTCTTTGAGTTTGTTGTTCAGAGGTTTTAAATGTTGTATGTATTTCTTTTGAGGTTTCTCTCTTATTCCTGCTCTGACATCTGTCACAGGCTAAAGGCAAAGGCTAAAATAATATCCTGGCAAATGTCATAAAACTTCCTCGTTGTAAAAAGTTTTTTTTTATTGTTGTTTGATTCTGGTGGTGGTGGTGGTGGTGGTGGTGGTGGTATCCCTCACTTCTTGTTCTGCCTGACTAATGTCAAATGAAAAGGAAGTGGGTCAGTTTAAACACCACTCCTGTTTGGCTCTTTAAAAATAGAAAAAATGAAGAAAAATAATTCCTAAAATCAGAAACACACACATCGATAAAATGCTCACAGAGGTGCTAACCGTTCATTCTAATCCTTCACTCTCCCAAAAGTAAAAAGGGTAAGGGCTGGATTTGAACTTACATTTCAGAAGTGTGGAAAAAACCACCTCACTATGGTATTAATTTGTAGTAACCATCTGAACAATTAAAGTCAGCAGAGGTCATTAATGCACTTTAATCGTAGCTCCAAGGAACTACTAATCAACTATACTATTCCTTAGATTCAGATTGGCCATTCCTCCCATCAGTTTCATGCTGGTGATTCAAAAGAAATGGCCTTCTTTAAAAATAGACCTACTGTCAACATGCCGGCTTTGCTGAGTTTCTGTTACGTCCAGGGGCGGACTGACCATTCGAGAACTCGGGCACTGCCCGAGGGCCCGGGGTCAGTATGGGGCCCCATGAGATGCCCCTGGTACCTTTCATAGGCTTTTTTGGGTGTGGTTTGAGTGTGGGCGAGGACATAGGGGCTCCATGATCCCCTATTGCCCGGGGGCCCCATGAGTTGTCAATCCACCCCTGGTTACGTCTGGTGTACCAAGAAAACTGTGTGTGATTGTGGGTTTGCAATATGTAAAGCTATTACTCCTTGCCTAGTAAACTGGCAGAGGGGTGTACACGATGCATCCCAAAAAAAGCATTAAAAACAAGACACCAGCTCTCTTTTTTTAACAAGGACCTTCATCCAGGGTTAACAGTAAGAAGTGTTTTACTCTGTAGCTTTCTACCATAAAATAAATAGATTTCATACAGATTTACTATAGTATTGAAGAATGGGATTCATTTATTCTTAAAAAAACAACGCAATTAGATGGTTAAAAATAGCTGAGCAATAAACTGTGTTTGCCATCTGAAAAACAAAAAATAAAAAGTAGTCTCTGGTGAGAAATCATGACTGTACACTCATGTAACTGAAACTGAAAAGTTACATGGTATGACTTACCAGTGAGGCCCTCAGTCAAACCCAGACATTTTAATTGAAAAATGATATTCCAGTTTATAGCTACATACTAATGAGTTAAATCATTCCCTTATTTCAAATACCTCTTGGTGACTCTAGTGCAGGGGCAGACTGACAACTCATGGGGCCCCTAGGCAATAGTGGATCATGGGGCCCCTGTGTCCTTGCCCAAACTCATAAAAGCCTATGAAAAAGGTAACAGGGGCATCTCATGGCGCCTTCTACTGACCCCGCGCCCTCGGGCAGTGCCCGAGTTTCCAAATGGTCAGTCCGCCCCTGCTCCAGTGGCTAGAGATTTTTTGCAGAAGTTTTTAGTTCGGCAAGTGACCACCATGGAAAATTATCTCTGCTACATGTGATACTGTGCTATGTCTACTAAAACTAAGCTCTTCATGGACCATAAAGTGCCAGGTGGTGCCTGTTGTTGATCTAGCCACCTATGCAGTGTCACCACTGTGTCACCACTGTACCCTATGAAAGTTCCTACACAAATACCTGCTAAGGCTCCATGTACACGGGACATTTGGAAAACACTTCTGAATGAAGAAAACTGACTGCTGGAAAACGTAGGTTAAAAAACGTCTGTTTAGCCACGTTTGCATACCACGTTTATGCGCGTTTATGTGTGTTTGTGTTTAGAAGCGTTTTTAGAAGATAACATCAGGAGGCCTTCCAGAATACCCAGAATGCACTGAAAAACAGTAAAAAATTAACTATTTCAGACATTGTGAGAGAAATAGAGAGAGCAGAAACAGGGAGAGCAGTATGTGTTGAGATTAGCTGTCTTTTCTGGTTGTATTCACTATGGATCCCATCATGAGAATAATGCAGCACGTTCTACCATTTTTTCCTTCAGGAAAAACCTTGAACTGACTGCGCTGGTGTGCTAGGTCCATTTGAATACATGGAAAACGCTTTTTGTGCATTTCTGATGATGAAAAAAAGGCTCTGGACAGCATTTGGATATGAAAACAGTTAAAAAACGCTTCTAAACGCAAACGCTTATATAAATTAGCCATGTTTACACGCGTTTACAAGCGTTTGGCATTTGAAACGCTGATAAAATCTACTCCTGAACGCAAGTTTGGTGCGTTAAAACAAACCGACTGTAAACTCAACTGCCTGTAAACGACATAGTGTACATGGACACATAGGAAAACATTAGGGTGAGTTCAGGGGCTGCTGAAAAAAAACACAGAAAAGCTCCTGAACGTCAGTTTATCAGCTGCAGTGTACATGAACCCTAACTGTGTTTGCACAGAGCTAGGCACACTGTCTTTCCTCATGTGATTGGGCTTGACTTACTGATAGGCTGCCTCGACATTGAGTGCTATCACTAGAGAGCCATGGTGGTTCATGCTTAGTCTGGTCACGATCCAGAGGAAGAAGAGTTCTTGGAGGGTCCCATGGCATGATGTGGGACAAAGGAGGGGGGGCAATCGATCTAGCACCTTATAAGGCCTTACTATCTAAGTAAACCTCTTGTCTTCCCTCTCTATGAACATGTGATGGAGCAAGAGGGTATAATGTAGTTTAGTTGTCTGTAATATATCACCCAAGCTACGGCTATATCACATATAGAAAAGCAGATACTGCATGCTCAAGGACCTCGTGGGTACTTGTGGTTAGTGCCAACACTCTTAGAGCGTCCAACTCATCTACCAGTAGTTATTACTACATTGCAGAGATGGGAGCCCTTTCTGTGATTGGTCTCCACCTGAGAGCTGAAGCCAGGAAAACTTTCCTATTAGTTTACTTTAGCTCAGTAATGACATCACCAGTCACATGACAGTTGCAGTAAACATATGGGAACACATGGGAAAGTGCTCCTGCTGCAAGGTAATCACTTCAATTTATTTTGCTGTTCAAGTTTTGCTGGAAAAGTCCTACTGGAATATTTACTGGTGTCTTTTGCTTCCTCCTATACTAAAGTCCACACATCTGCTAAAATACCTCTCAACGGTCTCAGACTCTGTGGAACATCCTACTGACACAGCAAATTTACACTGTGTCCTGCTGCCAACCGGTTGTTGGAAAGTCAGAGGCACTGCTAGCACCTGGAACTTGGGGCACATGCCGAGCATCTTTTCCTGGTTGCCCCAAATCCCAAAGTCGTGACTATCCACCATTTATTTTTTTAATAGCCAGCCAGGCCACTGCAGCACCACCGCTCACCTACTGCACAATTTGCTGGGACCTGTTGATGATATATTTGGCTTCACTTGAATGTGTAGGTAGGCTTAGTCTACTCTACAGTATATTTAACAAGGTTCCTTTAGGCCACACTCAGTATCCAGCCCAATTTAACCTCACACGTGTTTCATGGCAGTGCAGTCCACATGCTTTCTACCTTCTAGATTTTTCCTCTTTCTCAGCTTCTAACGTTGGTAAGTATGTCTTTTGCCTTCTGTGTGACAGACTGTTTGAATGTATAAGTCTATATGATATATATGCAGTACACAAGTATATGTAGTACATTTGTTAACACTAGAAAAACTGGAGGAACCCTCTGTTAATTATCCTTTATAGCAAACGTTGATGAAAAAAAAGGGATTTTTAGTTCACACATATTGAAATACATCTGAAAAAACAGTGCAGCGCTATAATAATATATGTTAATATTAAAATAAAATAAATGTGTAGTATATGCAATAATATTTCTAGATCAATTAATCATAATAAAATAGTGATATACAATATAAGTTAATGAAGAGCTAAGTTGGGCGCCAAAAATAAATGTGAAACTGTGAGAAGTCTTATAACAAAAAGAAAAAAAGTGTTCATAAATTAGAGAAGTCTTGACGAAATCAGGTCAGCATACAGTGCTCCATAAAAGTCCTAATGCACTTGTGATATCCAATAACTCCATGTGACTTAATCCATGCGAAAGATTGTAAGAAATGCGCACTCACCAGATGCGCATGATTAATGCGCAATATGTTGTATAAGAATCTGTAGGAAGCCCTCTTTACATGGATCTGCCAGACAGCATCAAACCAGGATTCCTCCTCTGGAAAAAAGCCTCCTCTGCAGCCATGCTTCCACTGGGGTCCTGGGAATCCTTAGCGCAAACCAGAGCCAATAACAAACATGCTCATAGTGTAGTAATGTTGCCGCTTTATTATGTAAAAAATAAGCTTAATACTCTTCCACATGGAAATGCTCAAATATACCAGTATAAAATCAGCATAAAAAGAACAGCCACTCTCTAAGATGGCCGCCAGACCTTGTGCGGCGTGACGTCACGGCGTACGGCTCCTCCTTTATTGAAATACATGTTTAGGTTGGCCAACTGCATCAAAGGAATCCCTCTATGGCCAGTCCTACTTTGTTCTGCCAACACAAATGCTACTGTGGACACAATGCCAACCTGGGACAAACAGACACAAAGTGGAGGAGAGCTACTAGGTTTAGGTCTAGCTACTGACCCACTATGCGACAGAAACAAGATATACCTGTGCTCAAATTCCAATAGCTTGTACATGCAGGTATCCATCAGGTGCTAAAGTGGTGTATGTAGTACATTGCTGCAAACACATACAATCAGGGGCGGACTGACAACTCATGGGGCCCCCGGGCAATAGGGGATCATGGGGCCCCTGTGTCCTTGCACAAACTCAAAAAAGCCTATGAAAAAGGTACCAGGGGCATCTCATGGGGCCCCCTACTGACCCTGGGCCCTCGGGCAGTGCCCGAGTTTCCAAATGGTCAGTCCGCCCCTGCATACAATACCATGTTGTATCTCACTTTTTACACCAGCTTATGACACCAACGTGCCACTCTGTGGATTGACAGCAATACATCAAAACTGACAGATAGGTTCTCCTACTTCTACCTGATAACTGATGACAGCATGTACCTATACCTCTATAAATGCAGAAATCACAAAGCATTCATCTACAAATATTTAGGTAAATATTTTAAAACAACACACAGCATTTTAATTTGCAATTTACACATTTGCATATTGTTGTTTTTTAAATACTTTTACAGCACACCTCTACTGATGTATTTGCTCAGGTGCTGTAGAGCCAGTATATACCTCTAAACAGGGGCGGACTGACAACTCATGGGGCCCCTGTGTCCTTGCCCAAACTCAAAAAAGCCTATGAAAAAGGTACCAGGGGCATCTCATGGGGCCCCCTACTGACCCCAGGCCCTCGGGCAGTTTCCAAATGGTCAGTCCGCCCCTGCCTCTAAATTACAGTGTATGTAAATCCTGACAATGAACTTCCCTTTGGTCTGTTAAATATACCATTGAAGGCATTTTATTGTATCTGTTCAACAAGTGTCAAAAAAATAGCTGTTTATCCAGCCAGAAATCGTGTGAGCTGATGCCTTTCTGTTCTCTCTTCAGTTATCATTGTTACCTGCTATCTCTGTGGACTAAAAAAAACACCTTCACCTGTATGGAGACGAGAGGGAGGTGTTATGTAGTCCTAACACTTTCACTGCCCCAGGGTGACAATGCTGCTCAGTATGGTTGTCACTGTAAGAAAGTGTGTTAATGGCAAAATTACCAGGTTAAAATGAAACAGAAAAATATGAAAAAAGAAAACTAATGCAGCCACCTCATTTAAGGAATTGTAAGCTGCAATATTACCAATTTTTGTGTTTAGATATATTTTAAAAAAAGAGTGCTTATGAAAGCGTTTTTTTTTTTCAGTCATTTGTGCATCTCTTAGGCAATGTAAACATAAATTAAAGTGGGTACCTGTCAAAACCAGATACACATTCACGGACGAAAAAAAATTCTGTGCCAAATATGTCAGAGGAGGGGGGGTTTAGGAGTTAAGAGTGAAACCTCCCCTTTTGGGTGAAGTTCCGCTTTAAAAACTGGAGGATGTCAGTAAATTAAGAAACTTAATTATAAGAGTCTTCACATTTTATTTTCAAGAAATCTGATGATCTGGTTGGTTAATTCCACCTAACTACCCAAACCTAAAATGTCAGATTTTGGGTGGATTCATTCTTTAACCTCCCTGGTGGTATTCCCGAGTGTAGCTCAGGGTAAAGTTTCTGTACCAAAAGCGGTAACCCCGAGCTACACTCGGGCTTACCATGCGGCGCTGCATAGGGAGTCCCTGCAGAGCTTACCTTGTCCTTCGCTCCCGCGATGTGTCCCCTGCAGCGTCCCCGGCCATCTCCTCTGGCTGATGCCGGCATACAGCTTCTGTGTTCCGGTCCCTCTGTTGTCGGGACATATGGCGGCGGGAAATTTGAAAATTTAAAAAAATGTCATTTTTTTCAAAACAAATTTTTCACAGTAAAACATTGCTGTTTCAAACCATTTCACATACATTTTGTCCCGAGTGCTCTGTCCTGTCCCCTGTCTGCATTTTGACTGTTCTTTCTGCCTGAAAACTTAGAAAAGTCCATGGCGTCCAAAAAGCGTCCCTTTAGGTCAAAAGTGGTTTTAGATCAGCTAGAGAACAGCGATAGTAAATCAGAACCACTTGCAGAATTGAGTGATAATGATTCGTGGGGAAATTTGTCATCAGACACTGAAAACAATTTTGCGACTTTGCTCAGTGATGTGCGAACTTGGCGCTATATTTGGTTTTTTGATTATATTATTGAATTAAATGTATTATTATTATATTATTATTTTTTATGATTATTTATTAAATTATAATTTATGATTTTGTTTCAAATTTTATCATACCCGGGATGTTTAATAGACTCTTGTTCGGACAGATTTCAGTGAGTTATTCCTAAAAATTACAGCCTACAATAAAAAAACACATATTTCCATGCAAAATAATGGTACCGCTTTCAGCACCAAAAATCTGAAATAATCATACCACCAGGGAGGTTAATAGAAAAACACTACCTTTAGTGACTGCATACAATACACACAAACAAACCTTGAAAACTACAGTAACTCTGTATTTAAAATGATCAAACACTTTAGTAACAAACTATTTTTCTTTTGTGTAGGTGGCTCAAGACCACATAGGCTTCAATCCATGTAGCAAGTATTGTGTTAACCCCAGTGGGACTTGGTGGAAGCCCAGGATGTCAGAAGAAACATGTTATCTGCCACATCTATTTTATACAGCTGATATGGTTTGCAGAGATGAACCAGGCAAGTACAGACTTGCATTCGTAAACAGCAGTTACTGAAACAACGATAAGAGTGGCACAGAGTCCCTCCAATCAGCCGGCTGTGCATGTTCTCAGTGCTGGAGAGTTACTATGCAGTTTGGACTATTTACTGTGCTTGTCTTGGTCTTGATGGATATCGCAGACAGCAGCAAGGTTGTGAAGGGGAGGAGACACAGGAGAAGTAAGTACTACTCTTACGTTCTAAAGCCTGCTTTGCATTGCAGTCTCTATTTTTATGTAAAAAAAAAACCCAAAAAAAACCAGTTTGTTAAAAAAACAATGTTCTGATTTCTGTATCATCTTATGTCACGCTTAATTCTAACAACGACTTAGGAGGCTATTATTTAGTTATCAGTTTAATGTATGACTTTATTTATAGGGAACTAAGTTCAGCATTTTACTATATATATATATATATATATATATATATATATATATATATATGGGCGGACTAACAACTCATGGGGTCCCCGGGCAATAGGGGATCATGGGGCCCTTGTGTCCTTGCCAGAGGCGGACTGACCATTTGGAAACTCGGGCACTGCCCGAGGGCCCGGGGTCAGTAGGGGGCCCCATGAGATGCCCCTGGTACCTTTTTCATAGGCTTTTTTGAGTTTGTGCAAGGACACAGGGGCCCCATGATCCCCTATTGCCCGGGGGCCCCATGATTTGTCAGTCCGCCCCTGGTCCTTGCCCCCTGGTGTCCCATACACTCATGTAACTGAAACTGAAAAGTTACTGGTATGACTTACCAGTGAGGCTCTCAGTCAAACCCAGACATTTTAGTTGAAAAATGATATTCCAGTTATAGACGCATACTAATGAGTTAAATCATTCCCTTATTTCAAATACCTCTTGGTGACTCCAGTGCAGGGGCGGACTGACAAGGCCCCTGTGTCCTTGCCCAAACTCAAAAAAAAGCCTATGAAAAAGGTACCAGGGGAATCTCATGGGGCCCCCTACAGACCCCGGGCCCTCGGGCAGTGCCCGAGTTTCCAAATGGTCAGTCTGCCCCTGTATATATATAATATTGCACAGATAATATAGTAGTAATACTAATAATTCAAGAAAAGTTGACAAATCCGCTGCTTTAGAGGTTCTCTACATCCAAACGTTACTAGTCTCACCAGGAGCGGACTGACAATTTGGGCTCTCGGGCACTGCCTGAGGGCCTGGGGTCAGAAGGGGACCCCATGAGATGCCCCTGGTACCTTTCATAGGCTTTTTTAGGTGTGGTTTGAGTGTGGGCGAGGACACGGGTCCCATGATTTCCTATTGCCCGGAGGCCCCATGAGTTGTCAGTCCAACCCTGAGTCTCATAGACTTAGTCATAGTCATACAGGTCTGGAGTTCTCATAGCCAGAGTCAGCTTAAAATTTTTATCCCTGAAGTTGTGGTGTGCTGCCCCATCTTTCTCTATTCATCTTGCCAGCCTTAGTACCACAGGGAAGAGTACTACAGGGATGCTGAAAGAGTTAGCACACCTAGCACTGAACAGGGTCTCTCAATCAGGGTTCCATGGGACCCTAGGGTTCCTCCAGAGGTTGCTAGGGGTTCCTTGAGCAATGAGCAATTTCTGCCTCTTAGATAAGTTCCCATTAACACCATTGATCGTTTTAGCTATCTATAACGGGGTCATTCTTCCCAATGACCACGAGTGTAAGGAACATTGTATCATGAGTTGTAGATATATAAATTTTTGACAGGGATTCCCTTGGACCGGAACATTATTTAAAAGGTTCCTCTGTGTCAAAAAGGTTGAGAAAAGCTGTACTAGAAGAATAGGTCAATCTGTTGCTCTAGCAGTTTGGTTCCAGATGTATAGGCCTATGGTGGGTGAGCTGTAAGTAAAGAGTACTCTATTCCACCAACAAAATTGTGCTAACCAATCAGGAACAGCAATAATGAGAACCTAGTTCAATTGCTCTGACAGGCAGGGTGGCAGTTTGATATCTTTTAAAGGAAAAGTATAGCCAAAGCTTTTTTGGCAATACTTCTTGTATGAATCATAAGAGTGCAGTTAGTTCTACACTCCTGTGACCCGTTTTCAGTCAACAGTGGGCTAAAGCCTGCTGATGACTGATGTCGCATTCTCGGGCTCTGAAAAGAGCAATATGGTCAGGATCCACAGCACCTGGCTCAGCCTCTCAACGATCCGCTGAGAGCCTGAGCTAGCCATGCCCACCCCCTTTACAGCCCAGTGAGCGCTGGCGGGGCAGAGCAGAGTCTGATCGCTCAGTTCTCACTGCAGTGCCGGCGGCAAACAGATGCAGCTTTGGATCGATGCTGCATCCACTTATGTGAGTATAAATACTTTTATTTCAACTCCATACAACTCTTTTAAAATACATTGAAATGTCTTGTGAGAAACCTTGTGAGTAACCTTCCACCCTAGACCATGACCTTTGTTAGTGAACCTTGCTCCAGCATGTACTCTTGGTGGAATAATGTACTCTTTACCTATAGCTTACCCACCACCTTGGGCATGTCCTTCAACATCAGGGGATGTTTGGGGGAGTCCAGATCACCAGCCAGCCGTGTTGGTAAGAGCAAACAGCATAAATAAAAAATAAACAGTCCATATACTTCTTTTACAAGAGCAAAGATACAGCCCACTGCCAACATAATCCTTGTCCCATAACAGGATGCCTGATCCAGGGGTCCAAATAAAAGATCACCAAACTCAGCAGCATCTCAATAGCCCAAACAGTACACAGCTCCTTCTCGCAAGCGTGTCCTGCTCCACACCACACCTCATGGACACCTGCTACCTCCTTGCTTTTCAGTGCTCTCTTGCAAATGGGTTAACCATTTTAGTGCCCTTAGTCAGGGTTGGAGGCTCTTTCAAACTCAAAACCTCTCCGAGCCTCCAAATTCAAGGTCCTATATCAAGACTTAATTCTGAGATCATTGTAAATGATGATTTTCCTCTTTACCGGATCACATCAGAACCCCTCATCCTGCACAGGTGAGAATCCCTGAGTACTCCACAAAATGTTTTCTCGTTCTCTTAAAGGGACCACAACCCAAATAATGGGGGCACATATCTTCCATCCAGGACCCAACCCTGTATACATATTTGGACCATTTAAAAACGAAAGTGGATGTTTCAATCCAGTCTTCAATAGCCATTGCAGTGTTTCTTCCTTCATTTTACTAGTAATTGATAAATGCAGGCTGAGGTATTCAGGATTCGGTGTCTCACTGAGCTCTGTCTACATAACACTGCAAAGAACATTCTGCGATTGGAGGAGAGGCTGATCACAAGTCTTTGACAGGTCTTGTAATCAGGTTCTCCTCCTAACAATTTTTTCCCTCATTAATTTGAAGAGAACTTTGCTAGATTCAGAATCCAGAAGCAAGTTAAAGCTGAACTTAACCCTCCTATACTTTACAGCCCAGTTTGCCACCATCTTAGACCCTCTTTGATCTGCATTTGCCACATTTGCTGCACATGTGACCAGGTATGACACTGGTCATTTGATGACTCGACAGTTCAGCTGAGAGCACAAGAAACGGTGACATTTATCTTTCACAGTATATCTTGAATGTAACTGTTTTGGGAAATAGTTAAAGTGTTACTAAACCCAGGACCCTGCATTCACTATATCTGGTCTCTCACAGTACACAGAACATGAAAATGCAGTTATTTTAGTAAATATAAATTGCTAAATACTTTTGCTCATCAGCAGTTAGAGCAATGTTGTGATTTCTATCAGTGTCCAGCTGAGAAAATGTTAAAGCTTGTGAGGAGGAGTTTTCATTCTGCTCTAGGAGGATGCAGAACCTCTGACCTCTGTCTGGACAGTGCTGATTGGCCCTGTGCTGACCACATGCACTTTCTGAAGAAATAAAAAAAACAATACACACCAAACTGAGCATGTGCAGAGTGACTCCACATGACATGTCTTATCAGGAGATAAGAGGGGGCACTGGAAGAAGGGGAGGATCAGAGAAGTGAGGATCACACAGCGTTTTTACACAGTGCAGAGGATTAACCTCTTAGGTTCCACACTGAGTATAGCAAGCATGCTTTACTGCATATACAGACTGATTTTACTGTTGTGGGTTTAGCAACACTTTAAATCAATAGGTTTAAGTGATATATATTTGTAAAACACAGCTCTGTGCTTTATAAAGTAAATTTGCCTTTTTTTAAAGCAGTGGTATGGCCAAGGTAAGTCCCTTAAAAATCAGTTTATTAGAAAAATATGAATTAATAGATAGATATTCAAGCAGCCTGTACTGTGTATTTTTAGTTTTTTTTTCACATTGTTTCAGTATCATTCATATAGCTGTTTGTCAAGAAAATTCCATTCAATTAAACAAGTTTAGCAATAAACAACAGCAAAGTTGATGGCAACATACATTCTGTAGTAACATTATTGACAATAGCAAAATATATACCAACAGATGAGAATGACTGCCCTGTTCATTGCCCTGTAATGATATTGCTGGGATTGCTGCCCGCTTGGCTCATTGGTTGTATGTTTTGCAAACTCTGGATGCTGGCATGTGCCTGATGCTGTGTAATCTGCAGGAAGTGCTTGTCTAAGGGATGCAATGAAGTGAGCATTACCCTGGAATTATCCAGCTATTTGTTGGGCTACTCATCAGATTAGAAAGGGAAACGCAAACAGACTAACTAAGCCCACTCAAAAAAAATGTTTTGTTTTTTTTTTCACTTTTTTTCTTTAATTAAGACATCTCTTTTGTTGCTTGTTGCATTGGGTCTGCGTTTAGCTAAAACAATGAAATGAGGTCATTTGTTTTTATTTGTGTCTAAACCAAATTCTTGATTCATAGCATTTCTTTTGGCAAATTGTATGCATTGATGACATAGCTACATTTTAGTATATCTGTGGTAGCCAAGAATGAGCAATAATGTATTCCAGTTACTGTTGATCTCCAAGTATATTGGAAAATAAACCCACACAACTATATATGTATTTAACAATTAAAGTAAAAGGTGGTATCAAATAGTTTAGAGACTAGTTTTGTAACACACCAACAGACGTCAGCACAAGGCTGCACTCACAGTCACAGGGAGCACCAACTTTCATAAGTCATTGTACCAAAAGACATTGTTCTGTGTACATTGGGAGCTGTGCAACTGGTGCTATTCTGACCATGCTACCAAGTCTGCTATTTCATCATGAACAGCAATTTAGAACAAAGAGCAAACATGAAATTCTGCGTGAAACCCATATAAAACCTGTTTTGTCACCTCACCTGTAATGATCCTCAACATGAAGGATGGGTCATCCACGACAAGCTGACAGAGTTCTTGGAAGACTTCAAAGTGGTGTACCTTGTGCTCCTGGGTCAGCAGCCTGTGACTGTGCGTGCAGCCTTGTGCTGCCATCTTTGGTGTGTTACACAACTAATCTTTTAATGCCACCTTGTATATATATAAAGCCATTTTTTTTCAGTTTTGAGTGATGGAAGGGTTAGATGCCCTTTTGGCTTTTTATTAAACCCACTTCTATATACAGATTAAACAATTAAAGCATATCTAAAGCCTTACAACTTTGTTCTCACGAGGACGATTCATTATCTCTCTTTGTTCTGATGGCATGATTTCAACGGAAGAAAAAACTGATAATCTTGAGTTGTCATTGAAGTAGAAATGGAGGCTCAAAACAGATACTTGTTCCAGTGAGAACCAGGGGCAGACTGACAACTC